AGGCACCACCTGGTTCCTTCTTCCTGAGGGGTGCGTTTCCCATTCCCTCTTGCCTCCTGGCTACTTCTGACCAGTGGGTGCCAACTTTGGGCGTTACATTTTCTCAGCTTAGGGTCCTTACTGTCGCTTGCCCTTGTCAGAAGCCAAACTGGCTCGCGGGTCTCACCTGTGCCATCTGGTCAGTTGGATCCCGAAGCACCGAGACTGCTCCTTCCATACTCAAAATAGAAGAGGGTGGGGGAGTTCCAGCCGTCATAACTGTTGCAGTTGTGCGTCCAGTGAAAACAGCCAAAACTGCATTCCGCTTTACAGAGGCAGCCCCTGCCACGAGAGACAGATAACACTGCAGAATATCCCGCTTAGCCGTGTGGTGTCCCACCAATGGCTGTGTCTGCTGGTCTAGGAGGTTTGTGCATTCCATCATTGGGACTTCAGAGTGCTGGGGGCGCAAAACAATTCGTTCCAGTGGGCTGGCCATAACTTGAAGGTTGGGGGTCGCCACTCTGCTCTCAGTCCTTGGATTGTGTCCGACTAACCGGTCAAAATATTCCATGAATGCCGCCACCCCTTTTTCCGTCCCACCGAACCCAAACCATTTGTGGTACTGGGGTCGGGGCAGAACCGAAGGTTCCGATCCAGGTGCGTGATTTGACTCCAGACTCTGCTGGCTCTGGTCTCAAACACCGCTTGATGAGGTAGCGCTTGGTCCAGCAGAAAAGGTTTAGCATAACATTTATCTACCCTAAGAACTTAGGCCTTTATTCTGCGGGAACCAAGGTTCACCCCTCAACACCTTCTGTGCGTCCTTTCTACGTCCAGAACTCGGCGGGATCCTAAGCAATACTGAATGCAGGACTCTGGATCCCGGAAGTGACAGTCCTACCGGGAGTGACTCTTTCAGGATCAAGGTTGGGGGTGGAGGGTTGGGGTGAACATCAGGGTCACTAGGATCAATTTTCCCCCTCCCCCAAGGCGTGGCTCATGGAGTCATTACAAGGAACATACTCCGAGTGGCCGCCCGAGGTTGCACATATAATGATACAATTTTGACGGCCATTCTGCTTTTATGAAAATGGAATTTTTGTTCAATCGAATGTTTCACAATCACATACATTCACCGAACCATATCGCAGCAACTTGAATATCTAAAAAATAGTTATATTTTCCATGTTGTAAAAATGCACCAACTGGCAATTTTGAATATACGCAAATTAGCTATATTTCGGAAGCCTAGATTTTTTGTCAATCTAGGCATCTCCCCGAAATTTATTGTGAAGAAATTATTTCTGTTGCAATTTCAGATGGGTCAAACCATAAATTGATTGGACTATTTGGGAAATTAACTATTATATTCATAACTTACCCGTACCAACCGTTGTATTAACATTATTTTCACTGATATAGCCCCATTCACTTTTAGTGACTGTGTCAATTAGCAATGTATGAGGTTTACAGATCATAACTGATTGTTCGGACAGTACTCATTATGTTACATACGAACAGAGTGGCAGCTACAAGCAATAAAACCGTTCCCATGTCGCACAGGGATCTGGGAAATTGATGACTAGTTAATCAATAAAGCATGTAAGATCATAGTATCTGACAGCTCACGAGACCCGTCAACTATAAGGTATGTGACAAATCACGTGTTTCTAGTTCTCACTCGATAGTCACCACATACATCCTAAACTACTTGTAGTTCAATGTGCCAACTAAAATGTATGATGTTTCATTTGACACAATGGTGAATATCCATATAGTTTACTTGATCATGATTGATTCAAGTGGCTGATTATTTATTTCGGCAGCATGGCAACCGAGAAACGTACTATTGCAGGTTCCATTCACCCTGTCAAAGTGTGCATTTCTTCGTATAGTTTAGTTGTGTGGTACGAATTTGAATACATCCCAGATAGTCTAAATACACACGTAATTAGCTTTCAATCGGAGACTATGCGCTATTCAATTTAGCTTAGTGTTAAATACATATATTCACACTCACTGGGACTGTTAATAACCAATGTACTAAACCATGTATGTCTACATCTTGTGTCGGGTGACATGTTGGACAGGTGATATTTCTGCTGTTTGGAGAGTGTTTGAACATGATCTGTTTTATTTGGATGAAAGTATGAGCTTGGTGAATGTATGTACATGTTAACTGTTCGGGAACAACGAAATCACCTTGTCAACGGCACTAAGAAGATGTCATTCTGTTCGCATGGACAATTCAGTCGTGTCATTGTTTGGCAAACTATGTCCTTTGTTTAGGATACAGCTATACAATAGAATCTGGGAGAATGCTCGGTGGCCCACCAATCAAAAGCGGTGGAATAACCTAGCCAGATGGACAAGTAAAAAGGCGTCTAAATCATACCTCGTGGCAGTCATTTACTACTGGGGATCCCTCCATGCAGCACGGGATTCCAGGGAAGAACGTGACGAAGTGTGTGCTATTGGATGTTGGTTGTTCGCCGGTAAAGACGAAGAGTACATTGAAGATTGACTCTCCACAGTTTGAAACATCTGCCTTGGTGTCAGACGACTACATGTACCGGAATTGCCGATGTCGGAAAACTACAGTGAAGAGTAACACTCTGTGTGACCACATATTGGAACGTCGGACTTTGCGTCAAGAGACTGGTTAGTAACAGGTCCCACAAACACATTAGAATAGGCGCATAGTTGTTCCGTGTGTTTGTTTCGCATATTTAGGTCTTGTTCCAAATGCATGTAGTCTTTGCGAATCGTAATTAATTTTAAGTAGCGTATTTACAACAGAGATAGGCCACTAGTCACTTCATGTCCTCGTATGTATTATTAACCTAATAAATGCGGTTAGTTTGACCGTGAAAAGTATTATATTGTCTGTGTCACCATTACAAAATCAAAACGACAAGATGTGGGATGAAGAATCTATCACTCCATCGTCGGACACCATTCCACCTTGGGAACCCAAGGCCTTGATCAAGCTTGGAAATCCGCCAGGTGCGATTGATCAGTACACCTATACATTATGTGTTCAGACGCGAGCACAGACAAAAGTAAAACCTGCAAACAAACTAGTTGTGCTGAACTTGATAGCGAGGATTATACTAACAATGCTAACAAATAAAACCTTGATAATCCCTTTCAAACATGCTGAAACAGGTAAAATTAATCAATGTGGGAAGAGTGCCCAAGCAAAATTTCAGACAGAGGGAAATCTTTTGTATCGCTTGTGCATGGCAAAAAATAATAGACAAAAAATAAGCCAGCTGGTGGTTCCTGAACATTTAAGAAGGCAGGTCATGAGAGTCGACCATGACTCAATTATGGGTGGACATCTCGGTACTCAGAAAACAATTGACCGTATACATCACAATTTTATTGGCAGAACTTGCATGCAGATGTAAAACGTTATTGCCAATCGTGTGTCAACGCACAATTCCTAAAGGTAAGGTTGGTAAAGTACCGCTGGGAAAAATGCCATTGATTGGCATCCCATTCCTCAGGGTCAGAGTAGATCTTGTGGGTCCTTTTAAATCTCATAATCCTCGCAAATTCCAATATATTTCGGTGTTGGTAGATTATGCCACACGATATCCTGAAGCAACACCTCTTAAGAATATCCGGGCGGTTACCGTGTCCCTTGTAGATATTTTAATAGAGTAGGAATACCTCGTAGATCCTTTCCGACTTGGGGACTCAATTTATCTCAGAGGTCATGGCCGAGGTCACTCGACTGTTAAGTATTCGTAGGTTAACCACTACACCGTCCACAGTGCGATGGTCTTACAGAGAAGTTCAATGGCACTCTTAAGCGTATGCTTGTGCGTATGTGTGAAGAACAGCCCAATGATTGGGATAGGTTTATAAACCCTTTGATTTTCGCATATCGAGAAGCACCCCAAGCCAGTTTGGGCTTTTCACCCTTTGAACTGTTGCATGGTTGTGAACTGTGAAAGGCCCTATTGCAATACTGCGTGAACTTTGGACAGAGGAAAATGTAAACTCTGAGGATAAGCTCACCTATCAGTATGTCTTAGATTTGAGAAATAGCCTTGAAGAAACTTGTAAAATGGCACAAAAAGAACTTCAAAAAATTAGTGACGTTTATCGCCGACATTTTGATAAATCAGCAAAACCGAGAGAGTTCCAGGTGGGTGATCTGCTATTGTTACTTTTACCTACAGTGAGTGATAAATTGCACCTACAATGGCAGGGACCATTTCCTGTTGTGGAGAGGCTGGGAGAAAATTATTATAAGATTATAAAAAATGGAAAATCAAAACTGTTTCATGCAAATATGCTAAAAAAATACCAAGCAAATTTGACACAAATGATTCTGGTGTACTAACGCAGGTAAATGTTAGCTTGATTGATAGTCAGCCACATGAGCATGGTATTGGGGGACCCACTACAGAGTTCTCAGAATTAGTGGAATTGCTCCCCATAATGGGCAAACAAACAATAAAAGATGTTTATATAAGTGATGATTTAACACACATTCAAAACCGAGAGGTGATGAAAGTATTGTATAAATAGTATTGACTGATATACCTGGACGTACGCATGCAATAATGCATGATATAAAAGTGATTACTGATGAACCAATTAGAAGTTCTTATTCACCTCCTTTGGCGGCACGAAAAATCATTGTTAAAGAAATCAATGACTTGTTGGATCTTGATGTGATTGAAATATCTCAATATCTTAATTCGTCTCCTATTGTCTTGGTAAAGAAACAAGATGACACTGTCCGTCTATGCAATGATTTCCGCAAGTTAAACAAAATCACTGTTTTTGATGGAGAGCCGATGCCCAATCCAGAAGAATTATTCGCTTGCATAGCAAAATACAATTATTTGAGCAAACTTGACAATACAAAGGGTTTTTGGCAAATTCATTTAACTGAAACGGCTAAAGAAAAAAACTGCATTCCAAACACCTTTGGGTCATATGGAGTATAAAGTTCTTCCATTTGGGATTGTAAGTAGTCCGGCTGGATTTTCAAGAAGATGCGAATAATTCTTGATGGTTTAAAAGATCAGGTAGTAAATCTTGTAGACGATATTTGTGTGTATAACCACACCTGGGACAATCATTTGAAATCACTGGAGACCGTGTTGAAACGACTGGAACTTGCTGGACTTACAGCAAAACCAACTAAATCTTTCATTGGGTATACTAAGTTAGAGTTTTTAGGCCATATTGTGGGTGGAGGAAAACTTGAAATGATGAAATTAAAGGTGGATGCATTGCTAAGGGCATAGCCCCCTACTACTAAAACACAGGTCCGAAGCTTTATAGGCCTTTGCTCATATTATAGAAAATGTGTCCCAAACTTTGCATCTATTGCGGCTCCTTTGCATGACCTGACTAAGAAAGGTCAGTCTAAGCTAGTAAAATGGGAACCTATACACCAGAATGCGTTTGTACAGCTAAAACAAACTTTGAGCTCCAAACCCATCCTGCTGCTTCCAGATATGAACAAAACTTTTGTGCTTAGAACGGATGCTTCCCAGGGAGGGTTGGGGGCCGTGTTATTGCAATACACCAATCACATCGCATTTTCTGTTGCATATGCAAGTCGAAAACTTAGTGATCAGGAGTGTAGATATTCAGTAATTGAAAAGGAATGTCTAGGCATTATCTGGGGTTTACAGAAATTTCGAAAAATATTTGTTGTTGAACCAGTTTTGAATAGAAACAGACCATCAACCCTTTTTGTATTTAAATAGAGCTAAAATTCACAATGGTCGATTGATGCGGTGGGCGTTCTATCTACAGGTATAGAATTGTAGCCATAAAAGGTTCACAAAATCTTGGGGCGGACTACCTTTTTTCATGTATTCACACCACACTACTACTGCGTTCTACAACTACGAGATACTATGATTGTAGTTTCTGGCTTGGTTTCAAGAACCCACACAAGTTGGAATATCTGCATTATTTTGCATTAATTGGTTCACACTAGTCTCATCGCAATTTTCTGGCCAGTTTATGAAAACAGATGCAGTGATCTCTTGACACACCCCAAGTGGACTCTTCACAGTTTTTTGTACTTCCCTAGCGTCAGTTTGATTTTCTTTGAGATGTCACATTGCTTCCAATCATGCAAATACAGGAACTGTAATGGATAATTTAGGGAGTCCACCATTGACAAGGTTGATGTTTGGTTAATGTTCTCTTGATGGAAGTTGTCAAGTACACTGCCAAATAAAAGGGTTTTCAATTTGTTGTGATTTTGACTTTCTTTCCTTTCGTGAAATATGTCGTTCCGTGTATATTCAATTATCTTCATTCATATTCCTGCATCTTTGCTCCTGATTACGGTTTACCATCTCCTCATCTTCACTGTTATCGTCTTTATGTATAGTGTTGAATGCTGATTGTACCAACCTTATGATGCTGAACTGTATATGGTCAAATTTTGTTTTAGTCAACCTTACTATCACGAGGCGTCTGGATCGTACTTTAAGAAGCTAATTATGTATTGTTTACAGACTCAATTGTGTATTTAATTATTGTAATGTATTACACATTACACACACGATGTAATTATGTATTTATTAATTTATTGTCATCGTATAAATTGATAACGGCTCAAAGGTAGGATCTACAGCCCAGCATTTGAATGAAATAATGAATGAAGTTTATTTCACTATAAAACATACATTAATAATATACAAATGAATTTGATAAATAAACAACTGAATAAATATATATTTATGTATATTGCCTATAGTGAGAATCACGGAAATCCGTGACTCTTGAAAAAAAATAAACAAAATAATAATTATTAATAAATTATATACATAGTACTTAGTTTTGTAAATAATTATACATAAAAAACAATGTTTTTTCCTAAATCTCTACACAGTAAGAAATTTGGGGAAGAATTAACGAATTATACAGAAGGAGAAAAATTTATCTAACAACATAATGCCGAATCTGTGAGATAATACCCATTTTCCCAGGGCTTAATTTAGTTAGTATATCTATATAGAGTTTCTACACTTAATTGCAGTCAATTGTTGCCCCTAAATAGTGTGTGGAACAAAAGCCCTCTACTGGTGACCCAAATTGATCTCTGTGGTAATTGTTCTCTGTGGTGACTTATAGTCATCGAGTTTGTTTTTGTTTCTAAATAGTAACTTGGTCAGCATTGCACCATTCATTAATATGAAGGAAATATATTTAGATTGTCAGCAAAAAAACGAAAATCAAAAAAAATTGCAGGAATTTATAATATCATTGGTATAAACTAAAACTACAATAGGGCCTAAAATCGATCCATGTGGTACACCACACTTTATTTCCTTGAATGAAGATAGTGTGTTATCAATGTTGACAAATTGTTGTCGATTGGAAAGGTAGTTTTCAAACCATTGTAACATGAGACCTGGACTAAAGTTTTGGAAGTCATATTTGTAAATGCCGCTTTCTTGTATAAAACATATTTTACGTAACTTTTTAAGGATACCAAATAAAATGGTGACCAGTTTAGTATGATAGAAGTCGTGTACAGTTTTCAAATGGAGGGTCAAGACTGAGTATACGTGATTCCGGCGTTTCATAATAAATGCTTTCTATCAATAAAATGATATTAATCAGTTATGTCTAAGTCATATCTTCGTTAAAGACCATTAGAATATTGTGTATGCAGTGTGCATGCTTCGGCCCCCCTTTACCGTATTCCACAACCGATGCAAATCCACAAGATCTGTACACACTCCTACCATGTCATACTCTGTATAGCTATACTGAGTGTTTTTAAATTAAACTGAATAGTGTATTTTTGTCGAAAAATAGTGTACTGGGTATTTTCATCTTATCATATTAGGAAACGCGAATTCCAAATATGGAACGGTTACGCGCGTACGCGTCCTATGATAATAAAATCACAAACTTGGCTGCCTGCAGAAGTTTGCTAAACAAAATGTTTTGGATTTCGGCATTCTCATGAGGAAAATATGTATAATAATAAGGTTATTACATGGATACTGCAAAATATACGCGGTCGACCGACGCGCATGCTCCCTGTACTGTCTTTGTACATATTTTGTAGTATCCCCTTAATAACCTCATAGTATGCAAATACAATTCTTGTTCCTCAATATATCTGGATTGTTTTTTTTGTTTTTTTAATTTAAATATTTTTGTGCCAGGCGACAGTTCCGGACATTGAATTTCACTGTTGTCTCTCCTGACTTTTTTGTATGTGAAAATTGCAAGTGCTAGTGCATTTTGCCACATAAATCATTTCCTGTTTGGGACTACGTGACAGGGCTGTGCGGCCATCTCCCTATCAAATGGCAATTTAATGCGCTATCCTGGCGTCAACCAGTAGAATTTGAACTTGGGTCTACCGATCATGAGTAGTAATATATCTGGATTGTTGAAAAACCCGAGTAGCAGTGTTGATTGTCTGGATGAAATTATATGCATTGAGAAGAATGAAATAGTAGCAGGTGCGGTTTAATGTGTAGTGTCAATATTGACGTCACAAAGGATGATGCACTTTTCATCCATAGCTTTAACTGGGATAGGTATGCTTCTGTAAATGCGTTCCTGATAAGAGATGCGAGAGAGAGAGAGCTGTGAATGTATAAAGCTACACCCCCATCGTGAAAACTGTCTCTATTACAAGTGATTGCATTATATTTTGGCAAGTTAAAAAGGATTAAACCATGTTTTACCAAGAGCTAAAATAAGAAACAAATTTTGATTCAATAAATTGAAATATGTAACAAAATATTTCGAAATGTTTTGAAGAAGGAATGAATACTGAGATGTAGAAAAGAGTAGGCATGTAGTAAAATAGATGAATTTAAATCTTCGGGGGAATAGTAAATGCAATTATAATTATATTAGGACTCACAATTTGTATTCATTGAACGAGGGTGTTATGACTGATGTTACCTTAATTATGTTAGGATATACGTTGGGCAACTTGCAAGGACGAGATTTTCAGAGCGAGCGATCCCGACTCTTTTCGTGTTTCGCACTAGGATATTTCCATTATCAGTCCAGAGATACTTCCATTTGCCTGAAAAAGTTTCTTGCCCTTCTAAGTTAGTTGTTCATTTATGTAAATTTTGATCAGATGTTGTTTTGGCGTGCATATCCTTCTTTTCCTTGTACTATTGACTGTGGACTCTCCGACGCGTGGAACAGACGATTATGTTGGATATTGCTTGCTCACTATTACGTGGAAGTCGATGGCTGATGCTGATGTCGTGTTCGGAAACATGTACTCCCACGGCTTCGGCTACATAGATGACTATGTCGTCAATCAGTTTCATCTTCTTTTTCTGGTATTACCTGGATTATTAGGTTGTTACGTCTAGTGTATTGTTATAGTGATTCATTCTGAGGCCCGTTGAACTCTACTCTGTTGTGATAAGTTGTTCTAATAGTGATTTGTTTTCGCTGTGGAGTTGTTTTTTAAATTCGTCGAAGAAAAGTTCATGAAGTTTACGGACTTTTGCACTACACACAATGTAGATTGTATAGTCCACTATGAGAGGACACCCACAGAGTGACTCACACTCGACAGGAGTTTTTTCACCGATATTATGGGATAGACAAGACAATAGTACTGGAAATGAAATACACACACACCAAAATATATATTGTCTGCCATCTTGCCTTTGTCTCCAGGTTTGCTTGTCTCCTCGGGAGAGGAACAATTGGCACAAATGCAAGTTTTCTTGGCATAAACGAATACTTCTTGCTTCACCACAGTCCTCGCACTTCATCGTTAGAATGAACCTTGCAAAAATGTAGAATAATTACTATAATGCAATGGGTTTCTCCTCCTTTAAAAACAAATTCCTTTTTTATTCTGTTTTATTTTAATATTCATCTACTTATAGTGGCGTCAAACTTTGGATTGGATTACGTAAACCACATGGTAATATGAGACCAGTATGGGTCGAAAGAGCGATTCCATACAATGAGAACACAGCTTATCCCTGGGCACGATTTCTAGCAAGCGACGCTAAGTGTGTAATCGGTGTAGGTAACAATGAAAACGTCTTTGAATGGCAGTTTTCAAATTGCCAAAATGCTGAATCATTTCTGTGTGAATTTGCAGAATCAGGTAAGACAGAATAATTGTTCATAATTTACCTGTATGTCACTGAGCTCAATCGTAACAGGATATAGTAACGGATCATGAATACTCGGCTTTATGTGCATTGCAGTTTGTAAGGTCAGGGGCGGTTTTCTTTGGGGATGTTCACTAGAGTTGTGTAGAGAGGTGCGAGCCTATTTTCAATAGTGAAGCACGTTGCTGTAGACGTGAATTCAAATATTTATATCACGAAGTACGCATATAATTAAGGAACTGCAAATAGAATACATATTGCGTTTTTCTAATACGATGCATTACATACAGTAAATAGAAATCCTGATGAAGCCAAATCTACTAGACGGGCCCATAGTAACCCATCCATTGATGATATTCTACGAATCAATCGAAATTTGAGTGAGTAATTAACGAGCTTCTTTTGTTGTACTAAAAGTATTATTGTATGGAGTAATGATTTCGAAAGACTCTCATTGTAATACTTATAAATTTCGATTGCTGAACAAAATTGTCTAACAATTTTTACCCGCATCTATTCAATATATACAACGTGAAATCAACTACAAACGAATACATCAGATAATTTATGAACGAACATTTTTATCAGAACATTTTTGGATACAACTGCCTTAAGTTATCATTTGAAAGACACAACAATTAAAATCTTGTAATAAACCAATCGGTGCTATATATTATAGGTCGAAGCCTTTTTTTACAGACTTATTTCAAGGTGATATAAAGCTGACAGAAGAACAACAAAGAAGACATAATGCAGGAATGCCCATCTTGTCCAATCATGAGTAACTATAATTGATAGTGTTCCGTAAACAAGTATGTCACTACAGATACACTACTTCTGTCAGAGTGTGCGCCTATGATTATGAAGTCGACACAACACAACACAACCTAATGCAATTTGTTCTGCTTTCAGAAAAAGAGGAATCACAAATAATACCGACTTGTATTGGACTGATACGGTTATTCATTTCGTATTTGATAGGAACCCTCCCAATGCCAGTTCATTAGGTAAGTCGATTCATGAAAATATACTTGTAGATGATACGATACAAGATACACCAAAGTATAATAAGTAAAAAATAAAAATTGTCGTATATGTAAGCAGTTAAAATGGTCAAAATTTACTTCATGTTAAACACTAAAATAGTTACGCCAATTCTCGTCACTAATTTCAGCAAAGTTCATTTGAGTCAAAGCATGTCCGAGAAATAGTTAAGGACACATTGTATTTAAACATGTCGCCATTCGGTCATTTTTAAGAAAACGACCGTAACTCATCATGTGTGATGTTCATTCAAAGTGCGGATGAAAAAGTTGAGGACAACGTTGATTTAGTGATTTTTAAATACATTCTGATAATAAATAACTGAAGATATTTTTAAACAAAATCTGTGAATATGTATCTAAAAACAGATTTGGCTACTTTCTCTTTCATTTTATAATTGACGAATAAAATATAAACATTAGAAGAATAAAAAGCTAATGATTCACGGTGTAAAATAAATACAAATGTTCCTTTATTTGCGTAGACGAAAATGGGAGGAGAATCGTACGGAATGCATTGAAATATCTAGAAGAAGCAACAATGGCATGTATAAGATTCAAGGAAGGTGTGGCAGACGATTATATAAGTATAATCAATGGGGACGGGTAAGATAATTCTTTGGTATTATAATACTTCGACTTGAATAATCGTGATAATCGGGTGGTATATCTGCCTTTTATCTGATAAGATTAGCTGAGGGTGTGGAAATAAAATAGCTTTGTAATCGTTAATCTTACAAAAGATGCTGGTCATATATTGGAAGAATCGGTGGAAAGCAGGAGTTGTCACTTTACGACGGAAACGACGGATCGTGCTTAAGGGATGGAATTATAAAACACCAAGCTCTTCACGCCTTAGGATTTTTCCACGAACATTCGCGATACGATCGAGATGACTACATTGAAATCCAATGGGACAATATAAAGCCTGGTAAGTTACAATCCCGCAATACACGTATGTACACAATAACGCATGAGCAATCTCCTGGTTCTGAATAAATTATGTTAAGTAATATGTGATTATATATTTCACTGACAGAGTATGAGGGTAACTTCTGGAAAGAGTATAACATGGATCTTCAATCCACTATGTACGATTATGGTTCAATTATGCATTATGGTCTATACGACTTTGCCATAGATCCTGCATTACCAACGATGGTTTTGCTTCAGGAATATGATGGAGAAGTTGGTCAAACTAATTATATTAGTTGGACCGACTATTACGAAGTTAGAACTATATATAAATGTGATACAGGTATGTATGTTTAATTACTTATGATCGAACACGCAACACGCGATTAGAACTCACGAATAAGGCATTGCCATTATCTTCGCAGTATTTGACGCTATGAGGCACAAGACTGTATAACAAAACCATTATCAATGTCAATGCTCTTTTCCGCTCATTTCCTAAAGGTTGTCATGCAGTAAACATGTTTTTTAAAGATGCATTGTTTTGTTTCGTCCATATTAAGAATCTTGATACCATCAGTGTCACGTGACTTCAGGTTTCTTACAGAAACTATTTGATTATATCTCGGAATGATATGCTAGGTGGTAGATGTCCACATCTAGCAGGATGTGCGCTAATTCCGACATTAACTTTTGGCTGTATACCCAGATATCTATGTCTCGTATGTTCAACTAAATGTTGAGTAATGTAATGTTTTGGATTTGAGTTTTACCTTGTACAATTTCTGTTGTGTGATTGCGATATCATATTAGTTTTTCCATGTTGTAATATTATGTTTGTTAATTTGCCAGTTAAATGTTTAAGCAACAATAATATTATGTTTCCTTTGTTCTGGACTAGTATGGTCAACGTGGGAATCCTGGTCAGACTGTACAAAAACATGTGGGAGCGGCTCTCGAACTAGGCACAGAAGATGTTGGAATTATGATGTGCCATGTGGGGGTCCTTCTTTTGAAACCCGTTTTTGTATGATAGCAGATTGTCCACAGTTTATCGGTAAGTAACACTCAAATACACTATTCAAGGCGCATGTTAAATTGGAATGTTATCAATTACGGTCAAACTTAGTTCTTCTCGATCGATCATAATCCTTTATGTTAGGACTTTGTATACACTGCCTTTGTTGTTATATGCCGTCACAGGACGTGTATAGATAGACCACGTGTAATTAAAGAACAAACACTGACCAAGGATTGCTGTTCTGTGAAGAAACCATTAAAGCTTTCAGAGCGTACACAACGAGTATAAACCCGAAACTTCAGTATGCAAATTACACGAGAAAAATTATTACTAATCGCATCTTGTAAAAATGTACTGTATACACACCTGTCTTTACCTGTTGCCTTCACATTTTATCTTGATTCGGACTTATCATCCAAGAAGAGCTTTAAAGATGGACAAACAACATAGTTCTTAACCCATCCATAGTTTAGGTTTGGCGATATGATACAACTATATGATTGAACACGTGTAACGAATTTGTTTAGGTTACGTATATGACAGTTGCTGGATACTCCCAGAATCACTGTCCACATTGGAAGGCACAGGTAACCCTCATCTTGATGGAGATTATGCAACACGAACCGACAAGGCCTTGGTATGTACGCAATATTTTGTATGTCTTTCAAATCTAGGATGCAATTTGTAGTTATACAGACTTAATTTTTTATAGTCTGCCTAATGTATTGTTGTTTGATAGAAATGTGCTAGTGCTGCCTCACACGTGGAAGAACTATATTTCGCGCTTGGAGATGGTGGGGCATGTTACGCCTTTTCCGATTACGGACTGCTCTCACCCGCTGGCTCGTCTGATGTGTGTTTTGAAGGACTTGGAACCTTAATCGCTATCGACGTCTATAAATTACAAAGTATGTCTTATAATGAAATTTGTGTGATATCCTTTACAATATCATAATATGTTTTTTTGACAAAAAGGTACTGTATTTTGTTCGAAATACAATTAATTTTGATCTACGTCTTTGGATAAGAAAATGAATGCTAAGAGCTTCGGGCATTGGAAGTATTTAATCGATCGTATACAACTATGTGTGCTACATTCATACTATTTTATACTATTTCAATCATAATATTTTTATCTATACGCAATATTAAAGATGTTGAAAAACACTCAAATTCCCATGTTTTGCTATGTCATATGTTACAGCCTCTCTGATTTAAATCTACTGTATGTTGCAGCATTAATCTGTCCTTATGCGGACCCTTACGAATTCGAAGGTGATATGGTATTTTGTATAGTTCCCCCTGGAGAGCCCGCTGTACCGTTCATTGATTCATGTCCTAATGGGTATACTTGCACTAATGTAAGTGGTGACACCGATAACCCAGTAGCAGTATGTTGTCCTATTAAAGGTAAATAGTTTGTATCGACTTCTCAATGAATTATTGTGTTCAAGACCTCAATATTTATAACAAATTTAGGAATTGAATTACACAACTTCATCTAGGCTAAGCTAATAGATAGAATTTTGGAAATACATAACCAGCTGAGATAATTAATTACTGTAAACTTATATTCTACCTGATAAGAAGGACAAATCGCATTCACATCGCATCGGCACATCGAATTAACAATCAAAGAAAGCTTAGAAAGAACTCCCGTGTGCTGAGAGTATTGAAGACACATTAAAAATTAAATTCATAATTACTTGTACATGAGATATTGATGGAAAAGCTGAAAACTAATTATGTACATCAGGTAACTAATATGAACAGAACAGAACAAAAAAATTATGAATTATTATGCTAATTAGAGAATTAATATGAACAAATTTTAACCCAAAATTAATCAGGCCTGTCTATAGCATTAATGTACCAAATTTTATTCAAATGTGATGATCAGTAATT